AAAATCCTCAGTAGCCTGATCAAAGCCTTCTTCTATTTCCTTTTTTTAGCTGTTCTGGGTATTGAATCCAGGGACATTCTACTACTGAGCTATTTTATTTTGAGAGTGTCTCATTAAGTTGCCCAGGCCTGGCTCGGAACTTGTTATCCTCCTGCCTCAGCCTCCCAAGTAGCTGGGATTACAGGTACACACCCCCCACCTGGCTCTAACCATGACCTTCTTTTGGCCTAAATGTTCAGGTGCTCTACCTGAAGGACTCATCCTATCCATTATCCTAAAAATATCCTCTATCTTTTGAGCTCACTAAAGAATAAAAATTCTTGGGCTGGAGTTGTAGCTCAGTGGTAGAGTGCTTGTCTCGCAAGTGTGAGGCACTTGGTTCAATCCTAGCACCACATAAAAACAAATAAAGGCATTGAATCCATACAACTGAAAAAAAATTATAAAAAACGATAAAAATTCTTTATGTTTTTCCAATACCTAGTAGTGAATCTCTTAAATTTTGGTGCTCTGTAGTTGAACAAATATAAGTTAGATACATTTCATCTAACTAGTTTATCTGTTTCACACTTCACAAAGCATTTTCCTATCTGAGCCAAGCACCTTATGAGACAGATAAGTGAGAATTATTGTTTTCATTTCATAAAGAGAAATAAGGAAGCAGATGGGAGAGTGATTTAGACAAGGTCAAAGTCTATAGCCCAGGAAGCCCCACTTCTGCTAGGCCCTCGCAACTCAAATGCTCTTTCTAGCATCCTGTGATCTCTTTTCCCACTGCCTGATCCTCTTCTGCTCTTTGAACCGAGGATCTGCCTGACACAGTGCTGTTTTATGGCCTTGGAGCTCATCTGTGCAACAAATTAGTAAAATTTGAAGAGAGAAAAGGTGGTCTAGCCATACCAAGAATGGGCTAGGAGTCACTGGGGGTACAGTTGAGTTGATAGAGTGCTTGCCTCGCATGCACAAGGCCCTGAGTTCAATCCTCAGCACCACAAAATACACACACACACAAAATAAATAAATAAATAAATAAATAAATAAATGGGCTAGGAAGCCTTGCCCCAAACTCTACAGTACAGTGGCTTTGCTCTATATAAATAATTGAGTTTTTCTAAATCTTGGGCATGAAATGAGAAGCTTGTTTCTATTCTGTAACACTAGTCCTTCTAGACCTCTGAATCCTCCGATTTCAATTTCAAAGTGAAAATATTTGGTTAATTTCTCTCTGACCCTGGTTAAAGCAGAAAAGAAAGAAAGGGAGATTTGAACAAAATGGAGATACCAGGGAAAGTTGGGAGAGGGAAGGGAAAGGGGAGAAGGAGAAAAGGAGCATGTAGAAAAGGAATAAAGATGAAAAAAATAGGGAAAAAGAGAAAAGTAGGTCTACATTTTATTGTTTTCCTGGCTTACTATTTTAATATTTATTTTTTAGATATAGGTGGACACAATGTCTTTATTTTACTTTATGTAGAGCTGAGGATCAAACCCAGTGCCTCATGCACGCTAGGCGCACACTTTACCTCTGAGCCATAACCCCAACCCTCCTGGCTTTCTTTTATTTATTTAGTGTGGAACCTGTTCCCAAAAGGATTTAAAGTAAAAAAGCATAGGAATGAATTCCAGGACATCCTGAGGAAGAGTGGGGGACGAGATCAATAATGCTAAACTCCTATGATGAGGTTCAGCATCAAATGCTTTGCTCACTTAATCTCATTTTATTGGCACTAAAACCCCTGAGGTCAGGCTTATGACCCAATTATATTGACCGGGAAACACTCAGGGGAATTAGGTGACTTGTTCCAACACACAACTGAATATACCACCCTATCTCCCTGTCTTCCCGTTTTTTTTTTTTTCCTGCCAGAACACACTGCTTGGAATCAGAGGTTTCTGGATCCTGTTGACCACAGAAGGTACTAGATTTAGCGGTGTTGGCAGAGTAAACAACAAAGAGAAAAATTGGAATGGTTGGAAGAATAAAGGAAAGTAGGCATTATGACAGTGAGAGATCAGCAGTCCCTTCCTTGTAGGAGGGAGGAGACTGGCAAGTGTCAATATGGGAGGAGTAAGTAAGTAACTGGATGGCTGGAATCAGAGGTGGCCAACTAGTATGAAGGCAACAGGGGTGTGGTTTAGGACCTCGGCCCAGAGGCCTTGTGTTCCCTAAGTGTGACTGAGACTTGACCCACCTATGGTTTGTGTCTGAATGACCTGATCAAGACCTCATGGTCTAATAACGCTTACTAGCGGACCAGGCCAGGAACTTGGATCTTCACAGGCCTTAGGCCTTTGCACATGCTCAGGTAGAGCACCTGTGGGGGACTTCTGGCAGCTTTCCTTCCTTCCTTCCTCCCTCCCTCCCTTTTTTGGTGCTAACCTTGCCATGCAGAGACTCTGGAGAGACCATGGTGCAGCAGTTCCAGGATCTTCCTGACCAATTCTTAAGGTCTGTTGGAGCAACTGTATACACTATTTGTATGTCCTATGTATACCCATTAGGCAAATGTACCGGGGATTAAACTCAGGGGCACTCGACCACTAAGCCACATCCACAGCCCTATCTTGTATTTTATTGAGAGACAGGATCTCACTGAGTTGCTTAGTGCCTCACTTTTGTTGAGGCTGGTTTTGAACTCCTGCCTCAGTCTCCCAAATCTCTGGGATTACAGGCATGCCCCATAGGCCTGGCTCTATGTGTGCTTTATTCTAGCAGGAGGCAGAAGCTAAGGGAGGGGAATAAGGTAGAGTTTGCATTTGAAAAAGCTTACTCTGGCTGCTGGGTGGGGACTGGATTGTAATGAGACAAAAGTCAAGGCTGGAAACTAAATGGAAGTTGTTGCAACTGTTCAGGTGGCAAGAGACAGTGACGGACTTAGTGCCAGCCATAGGACAGAGAGCCTAGAGAAGTAGGTTTGGGGTTGAATCATTGGGTCTCGCTGATTGATTGGACAGGCAGGTGTCATGTGACTTTCAGGTTTCTGGCTAAAGCAGAAGTGCTTTTGCGGGCAGGGTGGGGGAGTTGGGAGAGAAGAATATTTAAACTTTTACAGTTTATGTTCAAGGTCTTCATTGGATGGCTCTAAGTACTCTGGTATCCATTACTATAACAAAATACTGAAGGCTGGGTAGTTACTAAAGAAAAGGAGTTCAGGCATGGTGGTGCACACTTGTAATCCCAGCTACTCAGGAGACTGAGGCAGGAGGATTCCAAGTTCAAGGCCAGCCTGGGAATTATAGCAAGACCTTGTGTCAAAATAAAAAGGGTTGAGATGTAGCTCAGTAGTACTGCAATCCAAAGTACTTATGTTTAAAAGTTTGTTTAGTTGGGTGTGGAGGCGCAGGCCTGTAATCCCGGCAGTTCTGGAGGCTGAGGCAGGAGGACCATGAATTCAAAGCCAGCCTCAGCAACAAGGTGCTAAGCAATTCAGTGAGACCCTGTCTCTAAATAAAATACAAAATACAGCTGGGGATATGGCTCAGTGGTTGAATATCCTTGAGTTCAATCCCAGGTAAACCCCCCTCCCTTCCAAAAAAAAAAAGACTGGGGATGTAGCTCAGTACTTGCCCAGCAGGTGTGAGGCTCTGGGTTCAACTTCCCCTCTGCCAAAAGATAGGAATGGAAGATGATGCAAATCTATGCTCTTGGTAGGCTCACTTGAACACAGGGATGCAGGGAAGAGTAATGAATATGAGGCAGAAGGCAAAATTAAATTTGGGACATAAGTTTGAGATAACAGGACAACTAAAGGAAGAGGTTCTGCAGTTAAAACTATCACAAGTATGTAATAAAGACAGTACAGAAATCCTGTTTCTAGAATAAAGAATGACTACAATTTTGGAGAGGGCAGAGCTCTACAGTTGTAGGTCTGGGCATCATTCATACATAATGAAGTGCAAAGGGACATTCATCTTTCATGTAATAAATATTTACTGTGCATCAAACTTCAAAGTGTTATTTCAGTAACAGATTTCTTTTCCACTTCTTTTTTTTTTTTTTTAATTTTAGTTGTAGATGGACACATTTTTTTGTGGTGCTGAGGATTGAACAAATTACCTCACACATACTAGGCAATGCTCTACCACTAAGTTACGACCACAGCCTTCCACTTAAATTATCTGCTTCAGGGGGCTGGGGTTGTAGCTCAGTGGTTAAGTGCTTACCTAGTACTCGTGAGGCACTGGGTTTGATTCTGAGTACCACATATTAATGAGTAAACAAAATATAAAGGTCCATCAACAACTTAAAAAATATTTTTAAAAATTATCTGCTCCACACCATTAGATCCTATTCTTACTGGTTACTTTACACACACAGCTCTTTCCCACTGGATCGCTAAATTTCCTGGTATGGCTTGGATACTGTCCCTCAAAGGTCTATGTATAAAAGATTTGGTCCCTAGCCTGTGGCCCTACTGAGAGATGATGGAACCTTTAGGGGGTGAAGCCAAATAGAAGGAAGTTAGGTCACTAGGGGTGTGCCTTCAAAGGGGATATTGAGACTTTTTCCTCTTTTTCAATTCCCAGCTGCCATGAGATGAGCAGCTTCTTCCCCTACATGCTCCCATCATGATTTACTACCTCACCAAAAGCAATGGGACAACTGAAAAGGGACTGAAAATTTCAAAACCAAGAGCCAAAATAAACCTTTTGTCTGATTTACTTCAGCTCACACTTCCTGTGCACAAAGATATTTTGAAATTCTTTTGGGCACATAAATGATAAACATGAGTATTTAGTAAGAGTCTATAACCCAGGCTAGATAAATGAAAGTGGCCCATGTTATGGGTAGAGACTAAGTGTCTACCCATGGGAGTTTATGCCAATCAGCTGCAGGACTACAACTATGACTTGTATTTCCCATGCCCAGTTCATTTCTTTCCAGCTACTGCCAAGTTTCTTAAGAGCTGCTGCTTACCCCCATTTCTAAGGCTACTCAAGCAACACACCTTTCACATTCTTACCAAATCCCAGACACAAGGAACAAGTTGGAGAGGGCAGTCTTAACTTTTATTGAGGTTCTTTTTATTTAATTAAAATGCTTTTCAGTAGAGAGCACAGCCTTCAGGGGGAGCAGTTTCCCAAATGTTTCCTGCCCTATTGATTAAAATAGAATGATTTATTCCTTATCTCCTTCGGTCTTGATGGAAGTGGGGAGAATGACCAAGAGGAGGCAAGGTAAGGCAGAAAAAGTCCTAAGTGGCTCAACTTCAACCAACTGAAGTTTCACAGCTGTTGGTCACCCAGTTTTAGCCAATCAGGAATAAATTAAATATAGTTTTGCCACCTCAGCAGATGGCAGTAGGAGAACTCTAAGCCAGAACTTGGGCTTAGTCTACCCTAGGTGCCAACATGACAATTGCCTTAATCACCGGAAGAGATTTACAAACAGTTCTTCTAGCCTTCTCTGCTCAATGGGAGGCTTGGGCTTCACTCAGAGAAGTCCATCAATCAAGCAGGCTTCATTTTCGTTTCTTCTCCTGTGTGCTGGTGAACCAAGAGTCTAGGAGTTTCTTGCTGTAGTACAACTGCCAGGCATGCACTTGTACTGCCAGTACTAACACCAGGTACATGACAGAGACAGCAGAAAAACCAAAGAGGAAGCGGTAGGCCTTGCCATGGCGGTAGAGTTGCTGAGCAGCAGGGAACATCTCCATGCTGCCATAAATGAGGGGAGCAATGGAAAATAGCCCCATGCTGATCATGGAGAGCACCAGGTAGCTAATATTGTTTCGGGGAAAGGAGAGAAGGCCCAAGAGAGAGGGCACAATGCTCAGCAAATATGGATATTCCCACTGATAAGGCATGGCCACCTGATCATGTGACATGAGCCTCAGGTGTCCCACGCTCATCTTGGCAACCAGCAGCAGCCATACGACCAGATGCACGTAGATCAGCTTCTTGATTTCATACTTGAGGGTCACACTGTGGGGCAGAGCAGAGGGAGAAGCACCTTTCATTCAAATTTTTTTGACCACCAGCTATATGCCAGGCAATTTTACTGGACAGGGGGATACAAATTTGAATGATATAGTCTCTGACAGACGTTGAGCACAAAGAACAGAGGAAAAAAACAATTAGAGAAAAAAAATGAAAAAACGCTTTAGTAAAATGTACGTTCCAAGATATACAGGATCACAAGAAAGGAATCAATTCTGTATGGGATGGAATGTCACAGAAGGCTATCTCAACTGGGATATTTGATTCAAGCTCTAGAGATGGCTAGAGATGAGCATTCTATGCAGAGACAATAGCATGCAGGCACAAAAGCATAAGCATTCGTGTTCCAGGAAACCAAATGGTTGAATGTGAATGGGAGGGGAACAGGACATGAAGGTGCAAAGACTATAAATGGCAGAATAACGCTGCAATGTTGCACCAGAGGACTACAGCCTGGAGAGAGAAGGTATTGGCAACAAGGACCCAGCTAAGGCTGCCCATTCTTCAGCTATAGATTTTTCATCTAAAAGAATATTTCTTCTATTCTTTGAATTCTCTCGGTCCCAAATGTAACCTTCTCATACTCCTGTGGGCAATGTTTCTGCTCTGGGGAGGCAAGAAAACATTGCTTGGGTTGTGAGGACACCTTAGGCAGGGGCCTAAGGTTGAAAATGAAGTGAGGATCCAAAGAGCTTGTCATTCTTCAAAATCCTGAAGAAAGATGTGAAGAACATTCTGGGAGGAGTCAATGAATTTAATAAAGAAAATAATTTAATTTAAAAATATTCATTATAAAAAAGTATGGGGAAGGGGTGTGTGTCAAACACCTCCAGACTTCAAGCTTTATGAGGGGTAAAGGTTGAGAGTTGCTTTTTTTTTAAATGTTGGGGTCTCCTGTGTTGCTCAGGCTGGCCTCCAACGACCCTCCAGCTTCAGCCTCCTAGTAACTGGGCCTACACAAAGGCATGCGCCACTGTGCCTGGTTTAAAATAAACTTCAAGGTGTGGCATGCAAACAAAGACTACGTCTGCTTTTGCTCCCTATTGTATCCTAACACAATGCAGAATGGGTAGAAGCTCAACAAGAATTTATGGAACTAATCAATGAGTAGGCTCTATGCTATGTCCTTTACACGAGTTATTCGCTAATGCTTCATCAAAACCTAAAAGGTGGATTATTTTCTCCCTCTGCAGATGAGGGAACAGAGGCTCAAGCAGAAATGATGTTTTCAAGTTTCCAAGGTCACGTGGCATGACCAGCATTTACGCGACTCCAGAGCCCACGAAGGGCTGGATCCCCTAACGCGAAATCAATGGGTGGAGCTCACAGGGGCGATGGGGTTTCCCCAGAACTGGGGAGGCCGTCACGGGCGGCGAGGTCTGGGCAGGTGCGCGGGGGCTGGGGAGTAAAACGCTGAAACCGGACTGGTGTTGCCTCCCAGACCCTTGCAGGCTCCAGCCAGGAAGGCCTCCGTGCTCCTCGCCTCACTTCATACCTCATCTGGTAGTGCATGGCGACGCGCTCCCGGTGCTGAAAGTCGCTGCCGTCGGTGCCGGCTGCTCGCGGGCCTGCCCGAGAAGCCATTGTGTCCGAACAGAACCCCAGAGCCCCTCGCGCCCACCGGCTACAACTACACAGTCAAGAACCCCAGGGACCCTGTTCGCGCCGCCTCAGCACAGTTACCCAACAGCCGCGCGGCTCTGCGAGGAGGACTTCCGGCCTCTCTGTCCCGGGAGGACCGACTCTGTGGTTACTGCCCTCACGCATGCGCTCTCGGTCTCTCGGGCCCCTCCCCACGTCTGCGCGCGTGGAGCGCGCAGGAAATTAATCTCCAGTTTAGGCGTCCTATGCTGTTTGCCCGAAGGCCTCTCCTGCATTGACAGTTTATTAAGCTCCAACTTGAATTTAAGACGCAGGTGTTCTCATTTCACAGCCAGGGAAACGGATTGCCAGGAAGTGTTCTTTCACCCTGCTCCATGCCAGCACTCAGCATTCATAAATCCCCAAAATTTGGTTAAAATTGGGCTGAGGTTGTGGCTCAGCGGTAAAACTCTGGCCTTGCACGTGTGAGGCCCAGGGTTCCATCCTCAGCACCACATAAAAGTAAATAAATAAAATAAAGGTATTGTGTCCAACTACAACTAAAAAAAAAGAAGAAGAAGAAGAACATAGAAAAAAAAATTGGTTAAAATCGCTTAATCAGCTGGGGTGGTGGCGCACGCCTATAATCCCAGCGGCTCCGGAGGATGAGACAGGAGGATCGCGAGTTCAAAGCCAACCTCAGGAAGAGCGAGGGCTAAGCAACTCGGGAAACTCTGTCTCTAAATAAAATACAAAATAGGGCTGGGGATGTGGCTCAGTGGTTGAGCGCCCCTGGGTTCAATCCCAGGTATCCAAAAGAAAAAAAAAAGGGGGGGGGGTGGAGAAATCAGTAACTTTACAGCGAAAAAACGTGGGCGTGCACCCTTTCAGCTAAGTAACCAAAATTATTATTATCAGTTTGACCAATAATGAGCCAACTGAAATCTTTTGCCTTTTGATACATTGAGAACACAGCAATCACTTCTGTGATACGCCTGTCAGATGCTTAGCCTGAACCTCATCATGAAGAAATGCCAGATAAACCCAAATGGAGGGATGCTCTATGAGGTAGTTGGACTGTAGTCAAAATTTTTCAAGATCATGACAGAAAAAAAGAACTAATTTCCAAATAAAATAGTATCTGTAAAATCAGAAAGTAGAAAGGTGGTTGCCTAGCAGTATGGATGGGGGAATGGGAAGTTATTGTTTAATGGGTGCAGTTTCTGTGTGAGAGGATGAAAACATTCCGAAAATGGGTGGCAGTGATACTCTGTGAGATTTATGTTCTCTTTCCTGTCAAAGTTAAACCTGTAGGGCTGGGGTGGTGGCTCAGTGGTAGAGCGCTTGTCTAGCATGTGTGAGGCGTGGGATTTGATCCTCAGCACCACATAAAAATGAATAAATAAAATAAAGATTTTTTAAAAAGTTAAACATGTAGTCTGCATTTTTTAATATGTAAAAAAAATAAGTATATTTATTGTCATCTAAACCATGTAGTTGAAATGTAACCATTTGAGCTCCCCCCCATCTCCCTTTGTCCTCAGTCTTCCAATCATAATGCCTACAGTGTAGTAGGTGATCAATGAACCATAGCCCTATCCTAGCCCTCCCTTCTTTTGGGAGGTGGGGTGCAGGGGATTGTGTCAGAGGCAATCTACCACCGAACTACATCCCCAGCCCTATTTTGTTTATTTATAGACAGGGTCTCACTAGGTTGCTTAGTGCCTCACTTTTGCTGAGGCTGGCTTTGAACTCACAATCCTCCTGCCTCAGCCTCCCAAGCCGCTGGTGAAAACAGAATTAGTCAGGCAGTCGGTATAGACAGGTGAATCAAGTCAGGTTGGATTAAGGAGGCCAATTTGAAAGAGTCCTGGATGTTGGAGACTGCCCTGTGAGGGACTGAAATGCCTTCAGAGCACTTCCTCCACCCTATCAACCTGTTGCTAAGGTAACCAGCAATGTAAAAGTGTTTCTTTTTCTCCACATCCTCTCCAGCATTTATTATTATTTGTATTCTTGATAACTGCCATTCTGACTGACGTGACATGAAATCTCCGAGTAGTTTTGATTTATATTTCCCTAATTGCTAATGATGTTGAACATTTTTTTCAAAGATCTGTTGGTCATGTGTATTTTTTCTTTTGAGAAGTGTCTGTTTAACTTGTTTGCCCACTTATTAATTGGGTTATTTGATATTTTGGGGTAAAGGTTTTTGAGTTGAATTGCTTATGTTTTTATACTCATTTTTCTATTGTGTTGCCTTCTTAATTTATATGGAGAGGGGGAAGGGAAAAGAGAGACAGGGAAAGAGAATGAATTAGTTTCTTGTCTATAATGTTAGTTGAACTGTGTTTTCCCTATACATTGTATGTCAGGGTTTTATTATTTGCTTGTTTTTGTTTTTGTTTAAGAGACAAGCATCTTGTTTTATTGACCATGTTTGCCCAGATCTCTTGAATTCAATTCCTGCCTCAGCCTTCCAAGCAGCAGCGACCACAAGCATGGGCCAGTTTGCCTGGCTCATAGCATGTCTTGACTTTGCTTATAGTGTTACAAGCTGAACACACAGAATTTGGGAATTTTTTTTTTTAATCCAAGGACACTGAACCACTGAGCCACATCCCCAACTCTATTTTGTATTTTATTTAGAGACAGGGTCTTAGTGAATTGCTTATCACCTCGCTGTTGCTGAGGCTGGCTTTGAATTCATGATCTTCATGCCTCAGCCTCCTGAGCTGCTGGGATTTCAGGTATGTGCCACCATGTCCAATCTTTTTAAAATTTTGAGACAGGGTCTTGCTAAGTTGCTGACGCTAGCCTCAAACTTGCAATCCTCCTGCTTCAGCCTTCTGAGTCCTTGGGATTACAGGTATGTGCAACTACGCTTGCTCTGATGATTTTCATGCATAGAGTATGAGAATCATGCTTAGACATTGCCTCCCTCACTGGAAGGTGAATTCTCCAAAGGAACAAATAAGAACAGCATAATTTGTGTCCCCAGAATCACTGACTGCCAGGCATAGTGTAAAAGTTGAATAAAATGTTCATTGAATATATTAACTAAGCCCAAACCATCCTCTTCTCCTAGGCACCATGAAGAATCCTCAGGTTCACCCTCCCCCGCAGACAGATGTTCTCTGGCTTTAGCTTGTGTTATCTTTGTCAGATGAGTCTGCTTTCCCCGATGTACTTGGAGTTCCTCAAGACCCAGATTGCTTCTGAGTCATCCATTGGCCTGTCATTGGACACCAAGTACACAAGGAATGTTCAATAAATGTTTGAGGCGTGAATGTCCAAGGGAGGGGCCTGACCCTTTCCCCAGAACTTCCTCCCTGATGTGTAGTGTTTGAACTCTTGCACTTTTCCCCTGGCCCTTGGTCTGCCTTAAATTTGTTTGTGTGTGTGCATATATGTGTGGTTTTTTTTTGTTTGTTTGTTTGTTTTTGTTTTTGTCATTCTGGGGACCAAACCCAGGGCTTCTTTCATGTAGGACAAGCACTTTATCACTGAGCTACACCTCTAGTCCATTTTAAATTTTATTTTGAGACAGGGTCTTCCTAAATTGCCCAGCTGGCCTTGAACTTGAGATTCTTCTGGCCTCAGCCTTCTGAGTAGAATAACACACAAGGCAAGCGCCACTACACCTGACTGATATCACTTTTAATCTTTGTGAAAACCTGATGGAGTAGGAGCTATTTGTATCCCCATTGATCAGCTCAAACTGAAGTTTAGATAAGTTAGATCATATAGCTAGTGCTAAACCAGCAGTTCTCAAAGTAGCCACAACTTTGGCTTTGCAAAGGAACCTGTTAGAAATGCAAATTTGGGGGCTAGGGCTGGGGCTCAATGGTAGCACACTCGCCTGGCATGTGTGAGACACTGGGTTTGATTCTCAGCACCATGTATAAATAAATAAAGGTCTATCAACAACTAAAAAAAAAAAAGTTAAAAAAAGAAAAAGAAATGCAAATTTGGGTCCGCACAGTGGAGGTAATCCCAGGGGCTAGAGAGTCTGAGACAGGATGATCACAAGTTCAAAGCCAATCTCAGCAACTGCAAGGGCTAAGTAATTCAGTGAGATTCTATCTCTCAATAAAATACAAAACAGGGCTGGGGATGTGGCTCATTGGTTGAGTTCCCCTGAGTTCAATCCCTGGTACCCCGCAAAAAAGGGGAAGAAATGCAAATTTGGACTGGCAAATGGAATCCAAAGGCATATTAAAAAATAGTGCACCCCAATCAAGTGGGGTTCATCCCAGGGATGCAAGGTTGGTTCAACATATGGAAATCAATAAATGTAATTCATCACATCAATAGACTTAAAGATAAGAATCATATGATCATCTTAGTAGATGCAGAAAAAGCATTTGACAAAATATAACACCCCTTCATGTTCAAAACACTAGAAAAACTAGGGATAATAGGAATATATCTCAACTCTGTAAAAGCTATCTATGCTAAACCCAAGGGCATTATTCTAAATAGAGAAAAATTTAAAGCATTCCCTTTAAAAACTGGATCAAGACAGGAATGCCTTCTTTCATCACTTCTATTTAACATAGTCCTTGAAACTCTAGCCAGAGCTGTTAGACAGATGAAAGAAATTAAAGGAACAGAAATAGGAAAAAAAAACCTCAAACTATCACTATTTGCTGATGACATGATTCTATACTTAGAGGATCTGAAAAATTCCACCAGAAAACTTTTAGAACTAATAAATTAATTTTGCAAAGTAGCAGGATATAAAATCAATACTCATAAATCAAGTGCATTTCTGTACATCAGTAATGAATCCTCTGAAAGGAAAACTACCCCATTTACAATAGCCTCAAACAAAACAAAACAAAACAAAAAAACAAAAAAAACCTTGGGAATCAACTTAGTAACTAAGAGGTGAAAAACCTCTACAATGAAAACTACAGAGGGGTTGGGGATGTAGCTCAGTGGTAGAGTGTTTGCCTAGCATTCATGAAGCCCATGTTTATAGCAGCACAATTCACAATAGCATAGCTAAATTGTGGAACCAACCTAGATGCCCTTCAACAGATGAATGGATAAAGAAACTGTGGTATATATACACAATGGAATATTACTCAGTATTAAAAGAGAATAAAATCATGGCATTTGCAGGTAAATGGATGGAGTTGGAGAATATCATGCTAACTGAAGTAAGCCAATCCCAGAAAACCAAAGGCTAAATGTTTTCTCTGATGAGTGGATGCTGATCAATAATGGGGGTAGGAGGGCATGGGAGGAATGGAGGAACTTTAGATAGAACAAAGGGGAGGGAGGGGAAGGAGGGAGCATGTGGGTAGGAAAGATGGTGGAGAGGGACATCATAACTCTAGATACATGTATGAAAACATGAATGGTGTGACTCTACTTTGTGTACAACAAGAGAAATGAAAAATTGTGCTCCATTTGTGTACTATGAACTATAGTGCATTCTGCTCTCATGTATAATAAATTAGAACAAATTAATTAATTAATTAATAAAAAAGGAAAGAAATGTAAATTTGGGGCAGGGGGTGTGGCTCAATGGAAGAGCATGGTGCTGCTGGAGGTCCTGGATTTGATTCCCAGCACCACAATTAACACCAAAAAAAAAAGAAAAAGAAATGCAAATTCTTAGATGCCATTTCAGACATTCTGAGCTGGAAAGTCTGGGGTGGAGCCCAGCAATCTGAACCTCAACAAGCCCTCAGGTGATTATGATTCACTAAAGTGTAAAAACCCTGTGCTAAAAGAAAGATAAGATTAAATTTTTATTTGTTTTTATTTATTTATTTTTTTGGGGGGTACTAGGGATTGAACCCACAGGTGCTTAACCATTGAGTCACATTCCAGCCCAATTTTGTATTTTATTTAGAGACAGGGTCTCTCTGAGTTGCTTAGTGCCTCACTAAATTGCTAAGGCTGGCTTTGAACTCGAGATCCTCCTCCTGTCTCAGCCTCTGGAGCTGCTGAGATTATAGGCATGTGCCACCTTATTAAAATATAATTCCATGTCAGGCACAGGTGATGAATGTGTGTGTGTGTGTATATATATATATATATATATATATTTATATATTTATACACACACACACATACATATATATATTTCCTTTACTCTATAATTCATCTGCCCAATCAAGTATACAATTCAATGAGTTTTAGTATATTTATAGAGTTGTGCAACCATCACCAAAATACACTGTACTTAGATGAACAGATTAGAACATTTTGTTTCCCCTAAAAGAGACCCTGTACCCACTAGCAGCTACTCTCCATTTCCCTCCCACTCTACAATTACACCCCTAAGCAACCACTAATCTATTTTCTGATTTTAGATTTGTCTATTCTGTGCATGAAATATATGTAGAATTGTTATTGGGCAGACTGCTCAGAAAACATACCAAGTCCATTTTGTCCAATTTTTGTCCAAATTGGAGAATAGCATGGAGCCTGATAATTTCAGGATCTTTGAAGGCAAAAACCACAAAAACCGGGGCTGGGGATATAGCTCAGTTGGTAGAGTGTTTGACTCACATGGTTCAATCCCCAGCACCACACAAAAAAAATGTTAGTTCTTTATGGGGCTGGGGCTGGGGCTCAGTGGCAGAGCGCCCGCCTTGCACATGTGAGGCACTGGGTTCAATCCTCAGCATCACATAAAAATAAACAAAAATAGAGATATTGCATCCATCTATAACTAAAAAATATTAAAAAAAAAAACCCGCAAAAACCACATCTGGTTTTACGTAGCTACAAGCAAGCAGGGGTACAGAAGCTGAATTGAGTAGCTAGCGAAACAATGCAATGGGTACATTGGTATTTCCCAGGGGACTTTCCAGGTTGGCATAACAACAAGCAAGCAGAAGGGAACTGGGTCAAAATGACCCTAGTTGAGGTACAAGATAGAGAATGGTTACTAATGTCTAGATAATCTCTGACAGGCCAAGAAAAAAGGGAACCAAAGAGAGAACAATTTTACATTGTATAAGAATTGCCATTTTGGGTTGCCAAATATGCCATGCTAAGCAACCATAGATAGGTACAGAGGCAGAGTGTTCCCATGGGAGAAGCATTTCTTATATGATACGGAGTCTCGGGGTAAAATGGAGTCTGTTTGGTCATTGCCCATGTATTCTGGTCCATAACAAAATCAGACAGTAGGTGTATGATATGATCTTTTGTGACTGCCTTCCTGCACTCTGTATAATGTTTGGGGTTGGTTTGTAAAACAACAACAACAACAAATAAATAAATAAATAAATAAAACCCCATAAAACATTATGGGGTTTATTTTACAAAACATTATGTACTGGGGTTTGGTGGAAGCTAGGCAAGCAGTCCACCACTGCGCTACATTCCCAGTCCTACTCTGCATAATGTTTTCAAGGTTCATCCACATAGTAACATGTATGTTTTTAATAAAATATTTTATTAATCTTTTTGATAAGTGATATACTGTGTATATACTCTATTTTCTTACCCATTATCAATTGATGAACGTTTGGGTTAGTTCTACCTTTTGGCTATTAAGAAATATGCTGTGACATTTGTATACAGTTTTGGCGTGGACATATGTTTTCATTTCTCTTAAGGGTGTGTTTGTGTGTGTATGAATGAGAAAGTGAGAGAGAGATTGCTGTATTATAGATCTTACTTTTGAATTGAATCCAGGAGTGCCTTACCACTGAGTCACATCCCCAGCCCTTTTTATTTTTTATTTTGAAACAGGGTCTTTTTTTTATATAAATACTATTTTTAGTTGTCAATGAACGTTATTTTTTTATATGTGATGCTGATAATTGAACCCAGTGTCTCACACATGCTAGGCAAGCGCTCTACCATTGAGCCACAACCCCATCCCCCACCCCGAAACAGGGTCTTGCTCAGTTGTTTAGGGTCTTGCTAAGTTGCTGAGTCTGGCTTTGAACTCACAATCCTCATGCCTCAGCCTCCACAGCCAATCTAACACTCTTACCCACGACACATTTCAATTTCTTTTACTTTCTGCTATATTTAAAATTTACTGTGAATAACACCAATATCACTCCATCCATTCTCTACATTGCAAAACCATTACCATCACTAATCCTCACCTCAACCCTATAAAACAGGAATCACTGTCTCTGTGGAGCTCACAGAAGAAAGAGGACTGGTTTGAGCCGAAACAACCCATGTGGGGCAGAGGTAGAACCCTAACTTGCATATGCCTGCTTTCTGTGCCCTCTTACCTGATAGCATGGTCTGGACCATACCCATTTCCAAAGCTTTCAAAACATGCCTTCTTCCCTCCTTTCAAGACTTTTCTGGAAATCAGACTGGCTTGGAATCCCTAGGGAGAGCTGCAAACTTACTCCCTATGCTCTTTTCCCTGGCTGGGCTGAAGGCCAGGGGAGTGGCTTCCTGGGAACTGGAAATAAAATGGAGGGAGGCCTGGGCCGGGCTGGGCACAACTGCAAGGAGGCTAGGAGGCTGTGAGGGGGAGGTGAGGAGTCTGGGGTGTTTGTGCTCCTGGAGAGCAGGTGTGGTAGTGATTGGCAGTTTTCCTAGGGACAGGACTGAGGAGTGTGGCCAAAGCAAGTGGGCTGAGGTAGTACTAAGTGCGAAAGCGGGGCTTTCGGCCTCTGTGGGGGCTGGCTTGGGGAGAGCCCGGAGATTTTGGAAGAGCAATGCTACCTGTCTGGGGAGGGGGCTTTTGTTCCATGCCCACTCCTTGTGTCCCCTGCTCTGTGCCCAGCGCTCTCTATGCTGGGCGCTAAAAATAAGAGCGAGCAGCTCAAGGCCAGGTAGCCAGGGATTGGAGAGACTAGAAACTGGGGCTTCAAGACTAAATGTTCAGCTCTGTGTCAGGGAAAGACATTATAGGAAGGAGTGACTTGTGCAAAAGGTTTGGAGTATGCAAAAGTTTCAGTGTGGTGATATGGGAGTAAACGTGGAGGCAGGTGAGCCCAGGGCTACCTGCCTAGACCTGTGCTGTTCAATGTGGGTGACAGGAGTCACAGGCCACAGTGGCAATTTAAACTGAAGTTAGCTAAAATTCAACAAAATTAAAAATCCAGCTTCTTAGTCATATTAGCCACATTTCAAGTGCTCGATTGCCCCATGTGGCTCATAGCTATGGTATTGGAGAGCACAAACAGAACATCTCCACCATCACAGAAAGTTCTTTGGGCCAGCGGGAAGTCTGAATGACTTGATTACTTAAGGACTCATGGGAGAGGGCAGGCTCAGACCAGGCTGGCTGCCTAGGAAGTCTCTGGACTATAGGTGACCTTCAGGTCCCCAGAAGCAAGCATGAGGTGGTGTGACTCACCTCCTGCCAGTGTAAAGTGAACTCTGCCCTGGGGACAGGAGCAACCCAGGCAGGGCCTCTTCAGCCCCAACTTGGGATCCCTGTTCAGTGTGACAGAGCCAGTGACAGAGAAACATGGAGTGAGTGGAGCTGGGGCAGGGGAGCAGCTACCAGGGGGGCTGAGCCTGAGCACAGAGATGAGGAGGGGAGCCTATGGCTTGGTCATAGACATGCATGGGGCTGGTGTGTGTGAACTGGGATGAGAGATCAGTGCCGGGACTTGCTGGACTGGAGGCTGAGTTGTACTGTGTCCAATGACCAGAGAGAGGGACACCCTTCCTTCCCACTCTAACCACCTTTTTCTGCCTCCTTCCCAGATCCAAAACACTCCAGCTGAGGAGGATGGAATATGCCATGAAGTCCCTCAGCCTTCTCCACCCCAAGTCCCTGTCCAGGTAAGGAGAGTCAATGGTGGAGGGGTAGGAGAGCTACCTAGGAGCTGTGGGTGAGACCTTCTCAAATGTGAATGGTTGCATAAGTCACGTGGGAATCTTGTTAAAAGATAGATTCTGATCTGGAGATCTGAAGTGGTACCTGGGGTTTTGCAAGTTTGAGAAGCCCCTAGGTGAAGTGAACACGACCACACTTGGGGTAGGGGTGGGAAGGCTCTGTGCTTGGCACTTCCATTCCTGATCTTGGGTAGGCCTCACAATGACTATGGGAAGTAGGGTTCATTATACCAAATGGATAGAAAAGGAAACTGAGGCACAGGGTGGGCACTCTCCCTCACCTAGCAGATCTGTAACAGAGCCAAGATTTGAATTTGGGCCTATGCAAATCCAAGCTCCATCTTCTCTCTACTCCTTTAGTTCTGCTTTGTGCACCTCAGTGTCCAAAAACATCTCACAGGCTTCCCCGACTTCATCCCACTTTACAGGTGAAATTAGCAAGGCCATGAGAAGAAAGTGGTCTTTGGGGGAATGCTGGGTGGGTCTTTTATCAACTTGCTACTCTTCATGGTCCAAGAACCAGCCAAATTGTCATTACTTGGGAACTTGTTAGACATATGAGACCCTCAGGTCCCATCCCACCCACACTAATCAGAATCTACATTTGAGCAAGATCTGCAGGTGACTTATATGCCCATCACAGTCTGAGCAGGTTTTTGAGTAAGGCCATCTGGAGCACATCCCACCATCTGGGTGGGATGAAGAAGGCACATGATGATCCTAGTCTGAAGTGGTAGATAAGTGGCTCATCCTGATGTTCCCAACTTCTCCCAGGCATGTGGCAGTGAGCACTTCAGTGGTGACCCAGCAGCTGCTGTCTGAGCCCAGCCTGGAGGCCCCCAGGGCCCGGCCCTGCCGAGTAAGCACAGCAGATCGGAGAGTGCGCAAGGGCATCACGGCACACAGCCTTAAGGACCTGCTCCACAAGGTGAGGGGCCTGCCTGTACTCCACACAGTCCAAGTCCTGGGGCCTTGGCTGAGAGCTGGCCCTGCCTTCTGTCTTCCAGGTCATGAGCTGGGATTTGACAGGAGTGGAAAGTCTTCCTTTCTGATATTAGCACCCTGGTGTTTTGGTACCCTTTCACAGAAAATCTTAATTAAGCTTCTCCAGAAATCTTCTTCACCATAATTGATCTTTGGACTATCAGCAAAAGCGTCTCTACAAAAGAGTTCAATGTAGTTAAACTTTGTATTTCCTATTGCTCTATCTTATTTGGCCACCAGCCTACAAGAGATCAGCACTCCAGGTGCTAAACACCCCTTTACTAGTTTTTCACAAACATTTATGGAATATCCAGTGTAGTAGTTTGTAAAAGTGTGTTTGCAAATGCAAAGTGTGATAAAAAAAGACAGATCCTTTAACAAGGCCTCTGGTCTTGAGCCAGAGCTTCACAGAGATGTTTACTCCCAAGATAGCAGGGGGAGGGAAGAAAGGGGAGAAGAAGCTCTCCCCTTCTCAGGTGTTGTCCTTGAAGGGTTAATTTCCCAGAAAGGTGAAAGAAAAAAGCTGCTTTTGTGTGAACTTCTGCAGACTGTGAACTTCTGAGCCCTTTCCCTTACATGCTGGGTATAAAGTTCTGAAACTGCCTGAACTTGGGGTTCAGGGGGATTGATGGATTACAGAGAAAGCTTTGCCCTCTGAACCTGGCTATAGCCAAATAAACCTGCTTCCTGATTCCTATGCAGTGTCCTGCCTCGTTGTCCCCGGTTCAAAAGGAGATTCTTGTAGCCACTGAGCTTTGGAGTCCTCCACTCAGTCCTATTGCCAAAAAATGTGAGGAGGAACAACAGTGAGACTCCATCTTTTCAAGATGATAGACAGGCCTGAAGGGAATCCTACTGCAGGCTCATCTTGTATTTTCCTTGCCCTAGTCTTTGGATTGGTCATTTTTCTCCTAAAAATTCTGCTTCATTTCCAAGGAGAACGGTATTTCAAAAATCAGGATCTGGAAGCTAGGTATATTAATCTATTGGTGTATTGCTCAACCCAGACCCCTTTTGAAGAATTTTAAGCAGGAAAATATATTCTCTAGTGAATCAATCAAGAAATGTAAAGTGAGGGGCTGGGGCTGTAGCTCAGTGGTAGAGCGCTTGCCTAGCATGTGTGAGGCACTGGTTCAATCCTCAGCACCACATACAAATAAATAAAATAAAATGAAGGTGTTGTGTCCATCTAAAACTTAGAAAGTTTTTTAAAAACAAATGTGAGAATTCTGTCATTCCAAAATATAATAATGTGGTTATAAATGTCCTGAATGGTCTATTCTTATATAAACATATATTCTATGACATGTCATGGATTTCTTTCCATTTTAATCAATACAGTATACAAATGTAGTAAATGCTGCTTATGGATCATGTACTCTGCTAGATGATTTACAGCATTTCTTTTTTTTTTTAAGATAGAAGAGAGAGAGAGAGAAAGAATTTTTTAATATTTATTTTTCAGTTTTCGGTGGACACAACATCTTTATTTTTTTTTCTTATTTTTATATGGTGCTGAGGATTGAACCCAGTGCCTCGCGCATGCCAGACGAACACGTTAGTGCTTGAGCCATATCCCCAGCCCATTTTACAGCATTTCTTTTAATTAAAACCTTTAAGGCAGTTACTACAATTTCCATATTCCAGAGGCAGAGGCTGAGTTTATTCTCTGAGATTTTTATTATCATTATTAATAGTAGTAGTAGTAGAGATTAATCTCAGGGGTGCTGGATTTACATCCTCAGCCCTTTTTTTGGGAGGTGGGGTGGTAACCAGGGACTGAACTCAGGGGTACTCAACCACTGAGCCACATCCCCAGCCCTATTTTGTATTTTATTTAGAGACAGGGTCTTGCTGAGTTGCTTAGCACCTCTCTTTTTTCTGAGACTGGCTTTGAACTCGCGATCCTCCAGCCTCAGCCTCCTGAGCCACGGGGATTACAGGCATTCGGCACCACACCCAGCTTCAGCCCTTTTTATTTTATTGTAAGACAGGGTCTCACTAAGTTGTCCAGGTTGGCTGGGCAAATGAGATCCTCCTGCCTCACCCTCCCAAGTAGTTGAGATTACAGATGTGACCATTGTGCCTGACCATATTCTGGCATTTAAACTCAGGAAGTGAACTCAAGAACACTTGCAATTTTAGGGCCAGGGATATGGCTCAAGCAGTAGCACGCTCGCCTAGCATGCGTGAGGCACTGGGTTTGATCCTCAGCACCACATACAAATAAAATAAAGATATTATGTCCACCTAAAAAAGCTAAAAAATAAATATTTTTTAAAAGGACACTTACATTTTTTAAAAATATATATTTTAGTTGTAGATGGACATGGTACCTTTATTTAATTAATTTATTTATTTTAATTAAAACCTTAAGGTAGTTACTACTATTTCCATTTGGCTCAATGGTTGAATATCCCTGAGTTCAATTTCCACTACCAAAAAAAAACCCCCAAAACAAAAAACTTGTACATAAGAGTTCCCAGCAGCATTTTTATAATAGTAAAAAGTGGAAACAACCCTAATGTTCATCAACTGTTGAAAGAATTAAAAATATGATACATCTATCTAGTGGAATATTACTAGCCAAAATGAGGAATGAATCATGCTATGATATAGATGACTTTTGAAAACATTCTTAGACGTGAGTCTTAGGAGATCCCATGTTGTATAATTCAATTTATATGAAATGTCTGGAAAAGACAAACCCATAGATACAGACAGTAGAAAGTTGCTATGGGATGGGGAATGGGAAAAATGAATAGTAGGTTTATTTCAGGGGTAATGAAAATGCTCTGAAATTAGATAGTAATGATGGTGTACAACTTAGCAAATATACTGAAAAGCACTTTAAAAGAGTGAAATTTATTGTACATAAATTATATCTCACTAAAATTTCATATATATATGAAATTTCATATATATAACCTCTGTTATATTTTATTGGACTGCACTGTTCTAGACTATTAACTCTGAAGTCAAGTACCAAGAGGTACCATAATATAAAAATCTTTGGTGGGGATGCCATGGTAGAATGATGCCTGGGTCTCTGTGCCATCTCCTGGTTTGAGACCCTGGCTCTTTACCTGGCAACTGAAGTGGTATGATGAGTGTCTTCCACACACCAGCTCTGTGGCTACATGTGGATGGCAGAAGCATCACTAACCTTATTCCCCAGGTTCGGGATGTCTTGATGCTGGCAAACAAACCCTTCTCCCTGGTGCTGGAGAAAGATGGCACAATTGTAGAGACAGAAGAGTATTTCCAAGCCCTGGCAGATGATACGGTGTTCATGGTCCTCCAAAAGGGGGAGAAATGGCAGCCTCCATCAAAACAGGTGAGCTCCTACCTATGTAGGGGAGAAAACAGAGAGCTTTGGAGAAGTCTTGAAGTATGCCAACCACGTTTGTCTTGCTACAGGGGCTTAGGTACCAACTTTCCCATAAGCCCACCAAGAAGATTGATGTGGCCCGCATAACCTTTGACCTGTACAAGCTGAACCCACAGGACTTCATTGGCTGCCTGAATGTGAAGGCAACACTCTATAATACATACTCCCTTTCCTATGATCTGCACTGCTACAAAGCCAAGAGCATGGTGAAGTGAGTGAACTGGGGTGAAGTGGGGTCAGAGTGGGTACAGAGCAATGGCAGAGCCCCTATCTGTCCATATTGAGCCCTGCCCTTCTCAGGGCCTGGGTCTGGCACTGGAGTAACAAGCGTAACAGTAAGCATTCATGTAGGACTTAGAATTATATCTAAGTGCTTGAGTTGCACTCCTAGTGTGTGCCAGAGGGGTACAGGTACTCCATGATGCAACCTGGATACAGGTAGTTGTTTACCTTCTACTATGGCAAACTGCATCTTTTCACCTAAAAAAGTAAGTTTTCTTAAGCAGTCTTCTTATTAACTTTTTTGGGGCAAAAAGGAGGGAGGGATTGAACCCAGAGCCCCATATACACTGAACACATGCTATAGCGATGAGCAGTGAATCAACTTTTTTGGGGGAGGGGCGGGTAGTACCAGTCATTGAACTCAGGGGCACTCGGTCACTGAGCTCCATCCCAGCCTTATTTTGTATTTTATTTAGAGACAGGGTCTCACTGAGCTGTTAAGCACCTTTCCGTTGCTAAGGCTGGCTTTCGAACTCGAGATCCTCCTGCCTCAGCTTCCTGAGCCTCTGGGATTGTAGGTGTGTGTCACTGCACCCTGAGCCAATGAATCAAGTTTTTAAAAACAAACGTGTCAAAGATTTTATTGAACTCATCAATTAATGAGAGAACTAGCAAGAAGTTACAATCAGTTTAAAGAACAATTCAAATTCCCACATATGTAGTTCTGCTGATAATGATGAGTTAAAAATTTATAGATAACAAACTGAATTTTTCCATGGCAAAAAAAATAAAAATAAAAAATAAAATAAATAAAAGAATTTTTCCATGGCGGTAGAAGAGATGAAATAATCTTCCTTCCATAGGGACAAATTAATTTGTATGTCTATGGAGAAGAAGTATTTGTGTTGTCTTAAACTTTTTCTTTTGAAAGTTTAATCAAGTATCACAAGAAACATGAAAGGATATGAAATCATAAGACAAGTATGGTTACGATGTGTTTCCCAAATCCTACTGCCCCAGTGTCGTTCTGGAGAATTCTTATCCCATTAGGTGGCTTATGGTCCCTGAGGCTAAAGTGATACAATCTGTCCAAAGCCACAAAACTAGATAGCAGCAGAGCATGGCCTCCAGCCAGTTTCTTATGCTAGATTTTAGTTGTCCACAATTGTTTTATTTAGTGTTTCCTGAGTACATACTGTGTGCCTGGTCCTATGCTACAAATTAAAGATACAGAGATGAATCAGACATGAGAACAAGAACAAGGTTCCATGAGAGCAAGAATGTCTGTTGCTTCTGGAACCTTGGTGAATGCCAGCACATAGTAGTTATTCAAATAATCATAGAATTATGCAATAATCATAGAATTGTTCAATTATTAAATAATCATAGAATTATTCAAATAATCAGCTGGGGGTGTAGCTCAGTGGTAGAGTGCTTGCCTAGCACCACCGAAGCCCTGGGTTCCATCCCTGATATTGCAGGGGGACAGAGTAGAATGAATAAAAATGTATGTGATCTTTGTTTTCAGGGAAATCCTACTGAGGGTCTCCAGAGCTCCACCAAATCATGTATAGCTAAACTATTATCAGGTTTCTTGGCTTGTTTAGTTTCCCCTCTGCGTAGCCGATCTCAGAAGGGGGAACTGAGGCTGTGAGGTGCTACCTGTCAGAGGCAAGTCAGGGGCAGGCTGGAGCCTGGTTCTGTGGCTAAAGCTTCTATTTTCCCCAGTAGCTATTTCCCCCGTCATATGGCCATACCGTTCCCCATCTTGATATGAGATTGCTGTCAGTATCTACCAGATTTCAAAATCTAAAGCAAGAAGTTTTAGCCTTTAAACTCAGTCCATTTACGGGAAATGGAACTCTCAGACCTAAGCAAAGTAGATATATCATTATCAAAAATCAAAAGCAGCTGGGCGCAGTGGCACACACCTGTCATCCCAGCAGCTTGGGAGACTGAAACAAGGGGATTGCAAGTTCAAAGCCAGCCTCAGCAATGGTGAGGCACTATGCAACTCAGTGAGACCCTGTCTCTCAATAAAACACAAAATAGGGCTGGGGATGTGGCTCTGTGGCTGAGTGCTACTGAGTTCAATCCTGGTACCGCTCACCCCCCCCAAAAAAAAAAATCAAAACCAAGCTGGACTTAGCTTAGTATTATCACTACATTTAAAAAAAATTTTTTGTAGTTGTAGATGAACCGCATGCCTTTATTTTATTTTATGTGGTGCTAAGGATTAACACAGTGCCTCTCACCTTACACGTGCCAGGCAAGTGCTCTGCCACCAAGCTACAGCCCTAACCCCGTCACTACATTTTTTAATAAAAATTCGGATAAAATATTGATAGCATAAAATTTACCATCTTCATCATTTTTAAGTGTACTATTTGGTAGCGTTGAGTACATTTACAATGTTGTGCAACCATGGCCACTATCCATTTCCAGAACTTTTTCATCATCCTAACACAGAAACTGTACCCTTTATATAATAACCCTCATTCCTCTTGCCCTTAGGTCCTGGCAACCTCTATTCTACTTTTTCTCAACTTTTCTATTTAGGTCCCTCGTAAAAGTGGAATGACACAATATTTGTCCTTTGGTGACTGGCTTTCTTCACTTAGCATACTGTTTTTTTGTTTTGTTTTGTTTTAAGAGAGAGAGAGAGAGAGAGAGAGAGAAAGAGGGAGAATTTTTCAATTTTTTTTTATTTTTTAGTTTTCAGTGGACACAACATTTCCATTTCATTTTTTTTTTCTATTTGGTGCTGAGGATTGAACCCAGCGCCCCGCGCATGCCAGGCAAGCACACCACTGCTTGAGCCACATTCGCAGCCCTAGCATACTGATTTTTTAAAAATATTTATTTTTTAGTTATAGGTGAACACAGTGTCTTTATTTTATATTTATGTGGTGCTGAGGATTGAACCCAGTGCCTCATGCATGCTAGGCGAGTGCTTTACCTCTGAGCCACAATCCCAGCCAAATAGCATAGTGTTTTTTGAGGCTCATTTGTATTGTAGCATTTGACAGAAATTCATTCCATTTTATGGCTGGTGAGCTAGGTTTAAAGCCTGAGTTTTCAAACTTGAGAAATGGGTGTATTTCTCAGTTATATATCCCTTAAGTATATTATTTCATTTTATAAATATATGTGAGTATATGTATGCTTGTATATATGTATGTCTCTCTATTTTTTTATTTTTATTTTTAGTTTTTGCAGTGATAGGTATCAAACCCAGGACCTTGTACGTGCTAGGCAAGTGCTCTACTGCTGAGCCACAAGCCACACTCCTGGCACCCCTCCCCACATATTATTATAAATTAATCAAATAATTGGAAAAAATCTAGAGGTGGGCTAGTAGCTCAGAGGTAAAGTGCTTACCTAGCATGCACCAGGCCCTAGATTCAATCCCCAGCACTACAAAATATACAAATAAAGGCCTTATTCAAGGAGCCTACGTTTGCATGAGGAAAGCTGAGGTTCCAGAAAGCTTAGCTAATTTCTGTTAACCCAGTTCCATGGGCAGAGGGAAGACAACCCTTGCTCCTTTTTGCATGTTGCTCTAAAATCAAGAAGTGTTTTTAGTCTTTCTATCTCAGTGGACATTTCATTTTATTAATGGAGAAAGCTAACTTGAAAGTACTTCCTCCAGGCCAGTGTGGGAATCTGGGGGAGGATGCATTTGAGAGGATGCAAGGAGGGAGAGTGTTCATATTTTTGACTTTGCTTTTTCATCCCCGCCCGTCCCCAGGGAAATGATTCGCTGGGTCCTCTTCAGCATGCAGGCCACAGGCCACATGCTGCTGGGCACCTCCTGCTACCTGCAGCAGTTCCTGGATGCTACAGAGGAAGAAGGGCAGCCCTCCAAGGCCAAGGCCTCATCCCTCATTCCGGGTTGTCTGAAGATACTGCAGTGAAAGCCCAGATCTCAAGGTCTTCCACCAGCCCAGGACGAGACTGGGGACCCTGTGCTCAGCTGGTAGCACCCACAAGCCTGGCAGCTAGAGAGCTTCTTACCTCCCCCATACTTCCCTCACTGCAGAAGACCATGAATAAGGAAGCAGAGGAAGGACTGGGACCCTGGGGTGGGCTGGTCAAAGGAGAACTTTGGGTTCCTGGCCTGACCCAGCTCCTTCCTTCCCCAGGTAGCTTAGCTGACCTAAGACTGGTCACCCTCAGTCTGTCCCTCAAAAATCTGTCTCCACATGCTGCACTTTATGCCACTCCCTCCCCCTTGCCTTCCCACCCTACTCCTGAGTGAATCGTCAAGCCCACTAATGTATGAGAGTAGAGAGTTCACAATAAACTATTTATACAAATATATCCTCTTTGCTTGTATTCTTTGGGGGTGGGGCTCTGTTTGGAAGGTTGAAAAAGATCAAAGCAAGAGAATAATCCACTTGCAAATAATTCTGTATAGGTGGCATTACAGGGAACAGCACTTTTTATTTTAAGAAAATCACAGCTGGGGGGCAGTGGTATGTGCCTGTCATCCTAGCAACTTGGAAGGCTGAGGCAGGAGGATCACAAGTTTGAGGCCAGCCTCAGGAACTAAGCCAGATCAAAAGCAACTTAGTGAGAAATAAAATAAATAAATAAAAAGGGCTGGGGATGTAGCTTAGTCGTAAAGTGCCCCCTGGGATCAATCCCCAATTACCACCCCTCCCCCCAAAAAATCACAAGTTTGGATTTAAAGTCTGCTGAATCTGAGCCTTGAACAGATGATGTAACCAATACCAGGTCAACTTCAAAATGAAATTTGCCTATTGGAAGAGCTTCCATTAGTGGATTTAGTCATTCTTCTAACTCCTCAGTGTCACATTTTATAACAACTTTTAAAATGTTGAGGTGGAAAAGAACTAGTCAAGCAATAAGGCAATTCTCTGTTAATGCCTATCCTAGCTTGCTAGTTTATCTTTCATGATAGAACTTTCTTGTCTTTTTTTAGTACCTGAGCATTGAACCCAGGGGCACTGTGCCACTGAGCTAGATCCCCAACCCTTTTTTAAAAAATTTTTTGTAGAAAAAATGCCTTTATTTTATTTGTTTATTTTTATGTGGTGCTAAGGCTCGAACCCAGTGCTTCACACATACGAGGCAAGTGCTCTGCCACTGAGCTACAGCCTCAGCCCCCCAACCCTTTTTATTATTCATTTTGAGACAGGATCTTGCTAAGTTGCTGAGGCTGGCCTCAAACTTATGATCCTCCTGCCTCAGCCTTCAAATCATTGCAATTATAGTTGTACACTACTGGGACTGGCATGTTCAGAACTTTCAACCTTGGGATTTCAAGTGAGCTTTTATTGGTGGTAGAGAGCTTGCCTAGCATATGTGAGGCACTGGGTTCGATCCGTGGCACTGCATAAAAATAAACAAATAAAATAAAGGCATGGTGTCCATCTACAACTACAAAAACAAATTTTTTTTAAAAAGCCCTTAGGGTAGCTTCAAAGTACAAAGATTCGTGTCTCATTGGTGTGAACTGGCATTTTTCAATCTCAGGCAACTCACAAGCATGAAGGCTGGTGCATGGCACACTCTATAACCCCAGCAACTCAGAAGGTAGAAGCAGGAGGATTTCCTCAAGGCCAGCCTCAGCAATTTATTGTGGCCATAAGCAATTTAGCAAGATCCTGTCTGAAAAAATAAAAAAGGACTGGGCTGTAGCTCAGTGGTAGAGCACCCCTGAGTTAAACTCCCAGTACCAGGAAGAAAGACAAAAATACAGATAGTTCAATAAGTTTTGGCAAATATGGTCATGGTGGTCACGTAACCACCATTTCTGGCATTCCCTAAATTCCTCCTACGTCCCTTCATCTATCCCCCCATCACCTATTCCCACCCCAAACTTCTGGCAATCACTCGTTTCTGCCAATATAATTTTCCTTTTTAAAAATGTCATATAAATAGGGTCATGCTGTCATTTATTGACTTAGTTATTGATACTGGGGGCTGAACCCAGGGGTGCTCTACCATCTAGCTACATCCCCAGCCCTTTTTATTTATTATTCTGAGACAGAGTCTCACTAAGTTGCTTAGGGCCTACCTAAATTGCTGAGGCTGGCCTCAAACTTGAGATCACTGGGATTACAAACATGTGCTACCATGCCCAGACAAATAGTCAATTTTTAAAAAATATGAATAAGACTAGCCGGTTGTGGGTGTCGCACACCTGTAATCCCAGTGATGTGGGAGGCTCAGGCAGGAGGATCATGAGTTCAAAGCCAGCCTCAGCAGAGGTGAGGTGCTGAGCAACTCAGTGAGACCCTGTCTCTAAATAAAATACAAAATAGGGCTGGGGACGGGGCTCGGTGGTTGTACCTCAGAATTCAGTCTCCGGTACAAAAAAAAAAAAAGATGCACAAGACTGACAAGAAATTTAGCAAAAATGCTCCACCTTGAGGGTATAACTGCATTGTTATAAGCTCTCAGTATTTGAGAATCCTTTTTTGAAAATTCCTCTCTGCACTCAAGTACCAGTTGGAGCAAGAACTAAGGAAAAACTAAGTTCAAGGGTCTGGCTCACAGCCCACCTGCAGCAGACCTCTCCTCCACTGGCTGTGCCTGGTCCAGGAAAGGCCGTTCTCCCACTTGGACTGGCCCCTGGCACTCCAGAGGTCCCGGCTCCTTTGCTCTTTGGAATTTTCCCTTCCCATCCCCCCAGTTCCCCAAGGACTGCACTTTTCTCTTCACTTCCTACAGCTGCTTTGACTCCATTAGACCCTGAACTCCTGGAAGAAAAGGAAGAACCTAATTTCCCCTGGGCTGAGAGGGCTCAGTGCCAAGAAACCACAGTTCGTCACTCAAGACTCACTTGTGAAACTCCTGGCCTTGGGAGGAATGGAGCTTGGGACAAACCAGCTTGCACTGTCCCTCTCCAACTCAGTTATTAATAACTTTGAGTGGGTAGGCCACTGTTTCAGCGAGAGTGGAACAGGAATAACTTGTGTGCTAATACAAATGTTATGCCTCCCTGCCAGAAGACCCACCCCATGGAGCCGGCCTCCACCACAACTTGCAAGTGCAGGACAGCCCAGAGTAGAAAGCTCTCTTTGGCTGAATTTGGGAGCTTTTCCCACATGTCTGCAGGGCAGGGGACAACTGCCAGCATTAGCTTCCCAGACTAGCTTTGGTAACCCAACCCTTTGTCTTAGTAATTACTGAATCCAAATGGGCTTTATACTAAGTGTTAGGAATGACGTAATTTTCAACTCTGAGAATCACAGATTTATACAAGGCCAGCCTTTTGTATTTGTCTTTTAAAAAAATTTTTGGGTACTGAAGGCTGAACCCAGGGGCACTCTACCACTGAGCTACAGAGATCCCCAGTCCATTTATTTTTTTTATTTTGAGGCAGGGTCATTTTAAGCTGCTTAGAGCCTCCTTAAGTTGCTAAGGCTGAATTCTAACTTGTGATCCTCTTGCCTCCATCTATGTAGGTGCTGGGATCACACCTGATTCTGTCTTTTAATTTTTTTATTTCTATTTTTTGTACATTTAAAAAAAATATTATGAATCAGTCTTTTGTATCTGGCTTAGTTGTGTCTTTTTTTTTTTTTTTTTGGTATTGGGATCACTGAGCCACATTCCCAGCCCTTTTAATTTTTTAATTTTGAGACCAGGGTCTTAATAGATATGGAAAATGAAAAATCCCCAAGATAATATGACCTGAGAAAGAAAACCATCCATTGACAGCTTTCCTCCCTCAAGACAAATGCTTGTTGCAGGTGGGAGGAGGTGTTTCATTATACCTAAAGTGACAAATATCTGGGAGGCATTGATCTCCCTCAGAGTAAATTCCCCTCAGACATGGAACACAGATCCCCAACTCAAAAGTCCAAATTCCTAAGCACTAAAACTGACACATTCACTGATCAATTAGACCCCAAATTCCTGTGTGCCCAAGAAAACTGATCACCTCTCAGGATAACCTATATAATCCAAGTCCCTTTTTTTTTTTTGTTTGGGGGCTCATTTTCCACCAGGAAAGTGGGTCCCACCACGCAGTCACTTCGTCCCTGCTTCCCCTGTTTGTGTGTGAAACTTTGTTCCTGAATAAAAGCACTGAGCTGATTTGTGAAATTTGGTCTTTTTGTGCTAGCAGGTCTCACTAAGATGCTGAGGCTGGCCTTGAATTTGTGATTTTCCTGTCTCAGCCTCCAAATTGCTGGGATTACAGGCGTGTGTTACCACACCGGACTTTTTCCTTTTTTTTTTTTTTTAGTTATAGATGGGCACAATACCTTTACTTTATTTTTATGGTGCTGAGGCTTAAACCCAGTGGCTCACATATGGGAGGCAAGTGCTCTACAACTGAGCCACAACCCCAGCTCTCTGGCTTAGATTTTTAAACTTTGTGTGCAAGGGTGTGAAGAAGAAATATATTGACAAAGTACAAAATTTGAATAGTTTTGTGTTTTTTAACGTTTTGTCACTATAACCAAAAGACCCGACAAGAACAATTTGGAGGAGGAAAATTTAGTCTGACTCACGTTTCAGAGGATTAGTTCGCGGTCAGCTGACTCCATTGCTCAGGGTCCCGGATGAGGCAAAAACATCATGGCGGGAGGCCTGATGGAGGATCACTGATCTGCGCATGGAAGCCCAGAACCAAAGAGTTCAAGGAGCCAGAGACAAAATTATAATCCCCAAAGGCACACTCCAGTGATCTGCTTTCTTCAGTCATACTCAACCTGCCTACAATTACCACCCAAAATCCAAATTATTAATCTATCAAATGGATTAATCCACTGGTGAGGTTATAGTCTCACTTCTGAACTTTTTCTGCACTGCCTAACATGAACTTTTCCTGGGACACCTCATATCCAAACCGTAACAAGTCCCAAAGGATAAAAATAATTACTCATATTCACCTCTACCTTTGTCTGTTTTCTGTTGCTGTAACAAAATAGCTGAAACTAGGTAACTTATTTAAAAAATAGTTTATTTGGCTCATGTTTCTGTAGGCTGCCAAATCCAAGTGTAAGGCATCAGTACTTCTGGGAATATGGCGAGGGTTTTTTTTTTTTTTTTAAGATATACATAACAGAGCGTATTTTGATATATTATACACACATGGAGTACAACTTCTTCTACTTAGGATCCTATACATTGCCTCAGTCTGGCTGGGCACAATTCAAGAGCCACTTATCAAGCAGAAAGGAACTTTATTTTTAGAACACACCCCACACCACAGAGCTCAGGAATTCCCTCAGAGCCCAACTGCCACTGCGGCTTCCCACTCCTCCTGCTCTTGAGGCCCATTGGCTGGATTGTGTGGGCGGAGCCAAAAAAAAGTCCCCCAATGAGCAGCTCCCTGGT